TTGTGTCAATAATTCTTCTTTCAATGCATAAAATGTACTGTATCTTTCATTGTTGCAGTGCTTTGAATTTGGCAGGAGAAGTGCATATTTTTCATGCCCATATCTGCTCTTTTCATTAAAAGTTGCATTTCTTTTCAATTTTTTATTCTTCTGCCATTCCTTTGTCTCTTTTGTCACTGAGCCCCTTAGCCCCTTAACCTATAGATGAATTACAGCATCCCCTCCAATGTTGTAAATGTATGTAATTTAAGATGGCACTTGTGACACATTGTCCCTGATATCTGATACTAACCTTGGACTTGGATTTATTAATTGATTCAAATAGACTTCTGAATTCAAACAAATTAACAATATCTAAAATAGCTCTAAGGCGTGCAGAATAGATTCAGGCGGTAAGCAATAAATTGTTCAAAAGAAAAATAAATTGTTCTATCCAACATAAAAAGGAAGTGCAAATCCTGAGAGCCTTGTCTGTTTTCTCAAAAAAAAAAAAAAGGTAACTTTCATGAGTAGCTTTGTTTTGGTGAGGTTTTTTGTCATGTATATTTTGTTTGTGTGACGGGAAACATGCTTAAAATTAAATGTAAAATATAAACAAAAATTATGTATAAGAGTAAATAATCATAATAAGTAATACAGTGATAAATTGAGTTTGTATATCTATCAGAAAGTTAGTTTACTAAATATTGTTAATTATTAAAATTAAAATAAACTAATTTTATACAAACATCAAATTTTGATATATGATTAAAAAGTAATCTAATTTACTAATTCTAATATAAGAAGTATAAATAACAAATTGAGGTGGAAGTAATGGTTTAAAAGTCTAGAATTGTGGTATCCTTTGATATTTTTTTTAGAATTGTATTACTTAATTTTAATGAAAATTGATATTAACCTAGAATCCTAAGCATGAGTAATTCTCTGTCGAGATATTAGACAATTATCTAATTTAATTGAATCACTACATGTTTATAGGAAATAACTAAATTAAGTTCTTTAATCCAAAGTTCTAAAAATTGGCTATAAATGGCAACTAGATGTATGTCTACCCTAATTGCATATCAAAATACTTAAAATCATTTCTAAGTGTAGTGAACACAAATTACCCAAATCAAGGTCAAATTTTAACTAACTCTCTCAAATATCATCTAAACACCGAAACACATTTAAATGGTGATCAAGTAAATAAATGAGCAATAAATTCAAATTTGAGTAAACATCAATGTTTCTCTAAAAAATAAGTAATAAACCAACACAATATCCAAGCTACATATTAAAATCTACTATAACCCTAGATTAAGAGTTTTAGCTTGATATATTCAAAATACAAACACAAATCTCAGCAAAATGAAGCATTTCTATAAAAAGAGTTAGAGAGAAAATCAAAACTAGAGTGAGAAATTCTCTCGAGCAACTTTTTGATCCTTCAATCTCTTGATTTCCGTTTCTTTTTTCTTTGTTCCAGCTTCCTTTTTCCTAAATTAGTGAATGAATTCCCTTTTCTTTCTGAGCCAAAAAAATTATATTATTACCTTCTTTGTTAGCCATTTGACATAAAATCCAATGGCTGATAATTTGTAGATTCACGTGTTGGCACCCCAAGGTTTTTGTCCTTGGCCATTTCAAGCATTGAGATGTCTAGTGCCTAGGTGCCAAGCTACCATGCAACTATAGTCAATTGACTTCTTTTGCATTTTTTATCTTTTCTGAACTGGATGAAGTGCTAAACATCAAAATTATAGCTCTTCCTCTTAACTTTTTATAAATCTAAAAATCGCATTGATCAGAGTTTTTTAGCTCAAGATATGCTTCAATTATAGTAACATGGTCTAAACTCAACTTAAGCAAAAGTGCAAGATCCTTTGCAAATTCGAATTTCAAGCTCTTTTGCATCTTTAACAACATATAACATAATCAATAAAAAGTACAAACAAGACTTAATAACATGAAAATAAACTCAAATTACTTAATTAAATTACTCAAACATGCATAAAGTAAATACCAAGATAAATGTGAAAATAAAGCCTAAATTAATTAAAAACAAGAGATATTAATATTTTTGTACTCTAAAGAATGCAAATCCTTCACCTGCTATCCAACATGATCACCATTGTTGAATGGTGAATGCTGAAAGCGGCCCAATGTCCTTGCCCTTACTTACTGTGGAATTCCTCCGGATTTCCTCATTTGTTGTGTTCCTTTCTTTGACCCCTGGGCAGTTGCTATAGTTCTCTCTAGAAAAGGTATCTTTCTCTCTGAGCAAAAACAGTATACACCAATCATTTAACCGAGCCAAGGGGTACCTGGTTGCATCTTCTTTTCGTTCTAAAATACCTCTCAAGCAGAAAGACCTCAAGTTTTAGATTCCTAAAACAATGGAGCAATCAAACACAAAGCCTCATCTAGTATTACTATCCGCCCCTGCCCATCTCATGCCGGTTATTCAACTTGGCAAACGCCTTGTTACTTGCCAGGACGTTAAAGTAACACTTTTTGTTGCTTCTTTTGTCCAATCAGCTGCAGCGGAGTTGCGGAAAACTCTTTGATGTCATCCACCTCCCACCAGCCAACATTTCCAACCTTGTTGCCCCTGGCGATCAGGGGATTCCATCATTTTCTGAGGCCGTGCTTGTGGCCAGGCCAGCTTTTCAGGCTGCTATATCCGCTGTGGAGACTCCTCCAACTGCTCTCATCGTTCACGTCTTTGCAATAGATGTTTACGAATTGCGGATGAGCTTCAGATTCCAAAACATGTGTTTTTCTCCTCAAATGTGTGGTCTCTTGCTCAGATCATGTACACTCCGATTCTGGAAAAGGTAGTGGAAGGAGAGTATGTTGATAAGAAAGAACCATTTGCTCTTCCAGGTTGCTAGCCTATTCGAGCAGAATATTTGCCTGATTCGATGCTCTTCCGAGCCAAAGCAAATTATCATGAATACCTGAAAATAGGTATGGAGATTCCAAAGGCTG